AGGCTGTGCCACGGCCGGCTTTTACTACGGCCGAGCCGGCCGCGGCTTCAGAAAAAATATTCGAAGAAGCCGCGGCAGGCCCAGGCTAGCCGTGCGGCTTTTCACGGCCTTTTGAAATAATTGTTTCATGATAAACGTAGATTTTTTTTGAAAAGTAGGACAAAACAACGAAATTATTCAAAAACTAATTGATTTTCACTTCACGCGTTTTCATGAGGCTATCCGCGGCCGGCCTCGGCTAGCCGTGGCTTTTCACGGCTTTCACAAAAAAGCCGCGGCCGGCCTCGACTAGCCGTGGCTTTTCACGGCTTTCACAAAAAAGCCGCGGCCGGCCTCGGCCTCAAAAATCGAGCCGCGGCTGAGGCCGGCCGCGGCCAGCCGCCTTTTTGCACAGCCTTGGATGATTGTGAAACTGAAATTTTCAGAAAATACATATTCAGAATTCCAGATCCGAATATGTCATTGAACATTTATTCGTTCCAACTTGGTGATATGGAAAAATTGAAAAACAAAAAAAAATGTTCAACTTGAAAATTAAGATTCTGATTTACTTTCCCAAAAAAACCCTTTCGAAACTCTTGAAATCACCTGTTTCAATGAGTTTTGATTCTGAAAACATTTAATTCCAATAATGGTTCAGTTTCTTCCTTCAACTCGAACGTAAAACCTGTCATAGACGCGCCACACGTTGTCAAATTTTGAGCTAATTTTTCTCGGCTCCTATCCAAAATATCAAAAATGTGCTTACTGATAAAATGTTTGTGAAATTATGGTAAGTAATTTATTAGTTGACAACTTTTTCATATCTTTGACAGGAACCGAGACAAATCGGCTGACAGTTAAAAGTTACGGGGCCTTTCTATTACAGGTTTTACGGTATATGGGTTCGAAGAAATTGTGAGGGATTGAAAAAGAAAACCAAATTTTCTGAATTTTTACAGTATCACAAATTTTGAGTTTGTTTACATTCTAATTTGCAGTTCGGGAGTTCTAAATACCTAAAACTTGAAGCTTCAAAATTCAAAAAAATCCCGTTTCAATAAAGTTATGTTCGATATCATTTGGCTATTCGGCGCTCTCTGTACGTTCTCCATACGCTACTAAATAACGATAATGCTTAATATTTGGGAACCATGGAAAGGCCCGGAAGAATGAACGAAAAACGAAAAATTAGAAATTAACGTTTTTCTTCCTGTGTCTAACATCTATACAAGTTCAAATGCTCGAAATGTGTTATTCTTGTTTTCATCCGACCTTGATGATTTTTTTTCAAAGTCTAATCAACCAAGATCATTGAACCCCTCTCCAACAGGACATGAAATCACCAATTCCACGAAGACCTCTGACGAATGAAAATATTCAGAATTCATATATTCGCAAGTTTCCAACTCAATGATCTCCGATCCTGAAGTGCCTGCTCTCTCTTGGAAAAATAAAATAAAGAAAAATATTTCTCCCAAACAGGGCGCCGAGTAGACGGCGCCATGACTCACACTGCCCTCCCCATTTTCAGACATTCCCCATTTTTTCCGCTCCTCGTTTTTTCTCTCGCTCCGATTGCTCTGGAAAAAAAATAGAGGGACACAAGCCAGGAACGAGGAAACTGGGGAGCAGCACAAAGAGACAACCACACACGGAGGGAAGAAAACGGCAAAAAACAACACATACACACAGAATACACAAGGATCTTCTGTCTGTGTCGTCGTCGTTGTCGTTTTGAATTCAAAAAGAAGGAAAGAAAGAAAAGAAAGACCACACGTAGTGGAGAATCCAGACAGTCAGCGGTCTTGCACTTTTAAGATTCAGCCGTCCGTTCTGAAAACAAGAGGGTGAAGAGACGCAGACATTGAACTGCTGTGACAGACAGGAGAGACTCCGCCCCCTCCAATTCTGTTTTCTCTTGGAGAGAGAGTGCCCAACAGGACACTTTTTCCTCTCCTTCTCTCTTTTTCTCTCTTCAAACTCTTGTTAAGGAGGTCCTTCTTTTTTAGAGGGAGCCGAGAGGAATGAGATCAGATGTCATGGGGCTCCAGGTCAGTCTGGTTTGGGCAAATGAGCATCTGGAAAGCAATTTTCTAGAATTTTTTTAAAAGGTCTAAAAGTTTTAAGCTAAAAGTGCATGTTTTCTTCTTGGGCCTAAATCAAATCTTTGCTCTTTTTTTTTAATTGTACCGAAGTAAAGCGAAGGTAAGATCCAATAAGTATTGCTAGGGTAATATCCAAGATTCTAATAGCTTAGAATTGAAACGGGTTGGAATTTTTCGCATGAAATCTGAAAGTTAAAAATTTATGCACTTTTCAAAAAGGTCTAGTTCCCTGAGGTCCACCAAGGTATTTATTTTTTTCCAGACACCAACGGAAATTCTTTGAAAAGTTCACAAAAATGTGTACTTTTCCTCAAAAGATTCATTTTTGAACTTTTCGGGGTCTCTCTGAATTTTTAAGTCACTTTTTTCCCTTTTCCTTCTTCCAATATTTTTATTCCTCCCAGTTCCAACTACCCATGTGTCAAGTGACCTCATGTGATATAACGGTAAAACAATGTTTCTTTTTTTGTCTTTTTTCGTAAACAACCCTCTTCCCCTCTCTCCCTCTCTCTCTCTCTCTCTCTCTCTCTCTCTCTCTCTCTCTCTCTTTTACTTTTCTATACCCAATATTTGTTTGAACATTTTGGTTAGATTGGGTTTTCCTTGTTTTTTCTCTGATTCCTTAGCTCTGTCAGACTCTTTATCAATTAACTTAAATTGCCTAAGCGTATGTTCCCACGAATCCTTATCAGCTGGCTGTACACATGACCACTGATAAGTTTCTTTTTTTTCCAGAAGTTTCGAAACTTCCTTTGTTTAGTGTTGTTTATTTAGTTGCTTCCCGTAAATCGTAATCTTAAATCTCTAAAAATTGATCGAATAACTTAGTCAGTTGACTTCTTTTTTTGGTATGATCATATGTTTTTTCTAACATGTTCATAAGAAAAAAAAGAACCATTTTGTGTCCTTGAAAAAGTTTCCATGACTTTCGACTTCAGGCGATTCTTTATTTCAGAATCTTAATTTCAGAAAGTTTCTGGAATCCATTTTTTATTGAAAATTCAGATTTGAAATAGTTTTTAGGATTTCATGTCATTGCCTGAAAGAAATTGTAACAAAATTTTATCGGCTTCATCAAATACATTTTGATACAGCAAAAAATTTTTTTCGAATTGTTGTTAAGTTAGCAAGACTCTGAAAAAGCCTGGATACATTAATTTTCCGGAAATCCTATTCTTATAACTTTGAATCAATTTAACGAATTCACAAAAAAAATCTGATATCCTAAAAGTTATGAATGATCAAAAAAGGATCAGAGAACCTGAAACTTTATGAATTTTCACAGTTTTATTGAAACCGGAAATTTAAAAGTGATCTAACTTGAAAAAAAGTAAATTTTCTAGAAAATGGATATTATACTGGGACAAAAATTGGAGCTGTGGAAAAGAAACTCTAGTCATGGCCGAAGGTCCACAACGACAACTGCCGAAAAATTGACTGAAAACGTACAGAAATCATAAAGTTGAAAGTATTTTTAGGCATACTTGTAACGAGCCGGGCCTTTTCCCGAATTTCGGAGGCCCGGCGGGCCTGTCATTCCACAAGTTTTGAAATTTTCAAAAAACACATAAGGGGGACCCTTATGTGATTTTTTTAGATCAAAAAATTTTTTTCGAGTTTTTTGATATTTTTTGATCAAACAGACAAACAATCCAAAAAGCACAAAAAAAATAGAAAATTGTATTGAGAGCTAAAAATTCGATTCAAAATGACAAAATTTTTGCTACCGGGCCTTCCGGGCCGGCCCGGAATTTTACAAGTATGTTTTTAGGTTACTGTAATGTATAATAATATGTATAGAAATATAAATATTCTCGAGATTTTTTCGGGGATTTTTCGGAGCCAGGATATGCATTCTACCGTCATGGTGTACAACGCTTAATGTCACTCTGCGTACAGCGGTCGTTCTCCCTTGTTAGGTTTACCATCGGGCGAGCGCCCTCTTTTCGCCCGCGTGGCGTAGTCGGTAGCGGCCCAGTACCCCTGATCAGCTTGCCATGAGTTCAACTCCTCGAGGGGCACATTTGAACGGAATTTCGAGAACATTATTTTTTTTTCATGTCCCCCCACCTTTAAAGAATACCAAAATATTGAATTTTAAAATGCACATACAGCCTTAAATGATCACATAATCCAAAAATATTGTATTTTTCAGTGTTTGGTGAAACCGGGAAATTTTGAAGATTTGAAAAACATTTTAAGTGGATATTATCTTTGAAAAAGTTCAAGTTTGGCTTTTCCGCTTTTTCTACTCATTGTACAGTATCAATTTACAAATTACAAAAATCGAAAATTTGAGTATATTATTTTCGAGTGACTCTAAATATGAAAAGTTTTATATGATCCACAGTTTCAAAAATTTGTTGAATGCATGCTATCTCAACACCTTTAATTATCATCGCATTAACAGGTACGGTACATCAAACTTTTGATGATGTCACTCAAGTTCAGTATCATTTGAGACCATTTACGTAAGATATTGTTGTTTTGTACAAAACAAAATCACAATTGTTTTCTCATTTTCTCATCTAACAATTGTCACTTTTCAAAAAAAAAATTCACAGTTTCCAGAAGTCCTTATCTTGTGATCATATTTCTTGTCAGTGTTTCGGCCAAGGAATCAATATGATTAAAAATATTTTTTAACGTTTGCATACTTATGTTCCGAAATTTACGGTCTCAAACTTGAGGACCCTTCTATTACAGGTTTTACGGTTATCCGAATTTCGTTATTGAGAATTTCTCATAATTTCACAAACATTTTATCAGTTGACATAATTTTGATATATTTTAAGCACCCGAGATAATCGGGCTCAAAGTACAAACTTGTTGTTTCCAGTTTGATGTCCTTTAAATCGCGTCCGTTTTCTATTGTTTTCCTCAAGTTTTTATATTTTTTTAATTTCCAGAAAAATGCCCTTCTACATCCAAACACCCCCTCTTACCCCGGCTCAACAATTCTCGTCAACGTCTACAGTAACCTCACCAACCAGTCAAAACAATCATTTACTCGCTGAAGACGAAGAAGAACCGATCGATGTGGTTCATGAAGAAGAGGAAGAAGATATGGAAGAGATGAAAATGGAAATCGATCTACAAAACCAATCGGGACTACTGAGAAGAAGTTTCCGACCATTGCTAACTTCCGAAATGAGATCTGGAGGGATTCACAAGACTAGCAGTGACTCTAATTTGAGGAAATATTCCACTGGATATTCGGAACAAACATCTGCATTCGGATTTCTCAGAGGTCCAAGACCTCACCGTCCAGCATCCAACCTTCCCAGTGGAATGAGTCAAGAGGTTAAAATCGATCCACTTCAAACAGTTCAACAATTCCTTCAAATGCATCAATCGCTTATGAATTCTCCATCAGTTCCAACGTGTCTTTCAAAACTGCTAATCGAGGTAAGTCAGTTAAAAAAATGGAGAAGAGAGAGTTGTTTTTTGTAGGTCTGTTTTTCTGTTTTTTTCTTCTTTTCTTCATCCATTCCTTGTTTTTTTTCTCTCCTATTTTGCTTACCCACGTCCCATGGAAAACTCAAGTATCCCGTTGTCTATTTGTGTTTAGTGTCTGACGAACGGCATCCATCTTTTCAGACGGACAGCTTTCAGAAAATGATCCAGATTACTGTATCAAGAGTAGTGTAAATTCAGACAGGACATTTTTTATATAATAGAAGCTTTGAAGTCCTATCAATCGAGTCACTGTAGTTTTCAAAAGCGTCATAGGGGTTTCTGAATGAATTTCTGAGCTCAAATCCAGAAAAACCAGGTCAAATTGAAAATGTTGTCTTCGTGATCGGAAACTTTCAAATTCTGTAATTTTGAATCTTGCCATCTTTAAAATTTCGCTATAAATTTGAGCTCAAAATCTGAGAGTTTTAAAACATTTGTTAATTTCCTGGAAAAAATTAATTTCTTTAAAATTAAAATTAATGAAAATCGGACTGAAGTCTATCTGCAATCAAAATATCTGCAATCAAAATTTTCAAAAAATTAGTCTTCCGAAAAATTGCTATTTCATATATTGCATTATAAGATTTGGAAAATCTGTTGCGTATTACTTCTCGCACTGTGGTTTTATCAATTCTCGTGATTCAGCAATCCTTAATTTTTGTTCAATTTTTCAACTTTTTGAAAATATTGGGCTAATTGATTTCCGGGTATTTTAAAGTCTTCAATTCCAATTACCTGGGATTTAAAAAGATTAAAAATTCAAAACGAATTTCCATAGTTCAATTTGTAAGATGCTCCTTTTAACGATTCCTTCCTGAACATTCTTCAAAAGTTCACAAAGCCATGTGATCATAAATCAGTTACCCTATTACTCACATCAGGACTTTTCCCAAGAAATTCCACTAGATGTTATTTTATTTATCAATAGACACCTAAATTCTCCTCCGACACATTCCCTTTTTAAATTGATTTTTGCACCTGTCCCTTCTAGCTGTCTGGAGTTTATCAAATCAGTTTTTCCATTGATGTTTCCTAGAGAACTCTATCACTTCTTTAAAGTTGGTTGGGTTACTGTAACTCATAGTTTTTGTTTGCGTTCTGATGTTTTCCTATTTTCTCCTCCTACTTAAGAGACGATGTCCCATCCCACTGAATTTTTGAAATGAAAAAAAAAACATGAAAAACAGAGAGAAAGAGAGAGAGAGAGAGAGAGAGAGAGAGAGAGAGAGAGAAAGAGAAATGCCACCACGCGGACGGAACACTCCTCTCGTAGCAATGTGTGTGGTTGTGTGTGTCGTCTGAAAATAAAGAATAACAAAATAATAAAAACAACTCGTGATCTCTTCTCTCCCTCACTTGGGGTTCGTTTTTCGCGCGATCTGCTGGGCTGAAAACTGAAAGTGTTCGTTTTCCTGTATTGGTTGCCACGTCATCAAAAACTGACTCACTTTTTTCGGAAGAGATGGGCGGTCGCTTGTGGTTCCGGGTCACAGGAATTGGGGTGTTGCATTCCAACAGAAGAGGAGTATCAATTTACACCAAAGTTTTTATTTTTGGCTCTTATTGGAACAAGTAATACTTTCTGAGCGATGGGTTGCGTGATGTTTGGTAGAATGGGATTTTGCGTAGCAGCTAATGTAAGAAATAAACTGACATTGAAAAGAAAAAATGTTATAATTGTTATTAAAACCATGGAACAGTAAAAATGTGAAACCGAAATCGTTTTCGATAAGAGGTACCAAAAAACGTTCAACTGACAAAGTATTTCTAACATTATGATAAACATTTTGTCAGTTTGTCACTTTTTGATACCTTTTACACGAACCAAGATAAATTAGCTTGAAATATAAGGCCAAAGGAAAACTACCGTATTTCATCTAATTCAAATCATCAACTTTGAGCTTAATCATCTTGATTCCTGTAAATGTTTACCATCTTTCACAGAAATCGAGATTTTTAACTCTGTTCCAGGTCGACGATTTGATGGGCTTCTAAGAAAGATTTATAATAAAAAGGATGCCCTTCTAATAGAGATTCTCTATGCGCAGTTCCTTTGATACCTCGACTATGATTCTGGAGAAATCTGAAAAGTGTCTATTAAGTCGGCAATGGGATTAATGGTAGCAGTACATTTTTACAATTTCAAATTTATGATTTTATTGAAACCGATATCACATTTTCCAATGTGACAAGTACATAAACATTTTCCCACTAAAGAATTCTAGATCACAAACTCTAGACTACTTAAACACCGTAAAACCTCTAATAGAAGAGTTTCCTAACTTTCAACTTTGAGTCAATTTATCTCGGTTCCTACAATAGTTACCAAAATTGACAAATTGCTTATCATAATATCAAAAACAATTCATTAATTGACAGCGCTTAGATATCTTGCATACGAGCCAAGTAAAAGTAGCTCGAACTTGACAGTGTGGGGTCCTTCTATTACAATTTTCCCGATATTCTTTCAATGGACCGTATTCATGAACATTTACTCTAAAAATCGTATTTTGAAATCTCTTAAAATTCTATGTTTCTAGTTGTTTGCTTATTCTGAACACAGTATTCTTCAATCAGTCAACTTTTACCGCTCCCTTCTTGCCATGAAAATAGCTTTACTCCTCAAACTGTTTACTTTACTATCTCCACTCCCCGTGATCTACCGTAGTCCATTTTTTCAGTGTGCCTCACAATATTTTTTTGTGTGTTAGTTCCTTGTTTTGTTTTCTTTTTTCTGTTTTTTTACATGTTGTCCCCCTGTCCATCAATTCTGAAGCGCATACACTTCTCTACTGCCATATTTCTTCATCATCCTCCCATAAAAACGAAATCCCAAAAAAAAACAAGGTTATTTGTATGTGTGTTTAATTTTCGGGTGGTGTTTATGGCCCAAACTGCCAAATATTTTCGTTTTTTTTTGGTCTGTCTCCCCGGAATCTTTGCTCTGCGTCTCTTGTTGTTCCATACTCTTTCCGCCAGAAGAGGAACCCCTCGATTTTTTGTTATTTTGTTTTTTTCCAGTTCTTTTTTTTCCACAAGAAATCTGGGGCTCTGTGTGCTTCTTCTTCTTGCTAACTGTCTTCTCTGGAACACCACCACATCTTCTCTCTAATTTTGAGTCGAAAAAAAGAAAACACGAAAACACCTTCTTCCGTAGACGACGTCGGTGTCTGTGAACGAAAGAAAGCGAACGGAGGGAGTGAAAATAAGAGGCAACAAGCAAACAACACAACAGGAGAAGAAGAAGAACGTCTTCTCCGAGAAAAGGGAGCTCTACGTTCTACGTCTTCGCTTGTGCTTTTTCATGTTTTGACGTCGAATGAGGTGTTCTGAACTGGATGATCATGCTGCAGTAGGATGTTTGCTTTTTTTAAAGCAAAATAAAGACCAGATAGCCAAGAATAGGAAAGTATGAAGTCTATATGGAGTTTTTGAAACAGTGATACTTTTGATCCCCAATTCATGAAAATGCAGTTTATTTATGATATCAAGTTTCGAGAATTCATAAAGTCGGAATCAAGTTTTTAATCTAGGTTAAAGGAAACGGAATTCTTTTAAATATATAATCTGTATGAAAACCAAAGAAACGATCTGGGAAAAATATTATAATTGAATAAATAGTTCAAATTTGTATGAAAATTTTGAAGCAGTATTTAAATTGAATAACTTGACTTAACCAAGCCAGTGGTATGAAATTTGAAGTAATCTAGAACTAACACGGAGTTGCCGGCGGTAACCTCCAGAAAACGCGATTTGTTGCACACATCGTGTTCAAAGACTTGGCACTGTTCCAAATCATCATTTTTGGAATTGAAAATTCCCAATTCCAAGCCAAATTTTAGTCGCGTTGCGAGCCGCAACGCGCCCAAGAGAACTGGGGAAAATTTGAATGCATGTACGCTATTGCAACCCCCGTGACTAAAAGAGTTTGGGATATTTTAGAACTCAATTTCATGGACTTTAAATAAGTCAATTGTTTGAAACAGTAGCCGAGTATTCGTTTACAACTAAAATTACGAAGTTTTGAGCAGCAGCTGCTAGACAAGCTAGCAAATTGTTAGTTAAATGACACCTGCTCGAACACCAGATTTTTCTCGAAGCCACTATTTTGAACGTTTTACGAAACTTGCTGATTCGAATTTCTACATTTGAGTTAATATTTCGAACTATACATGATGCCTATTCACAATATAAGCTTAGCTCTCCCTATCATTTTACCAATTTTGTGACACCGTAATTTTTTTCAAACTCCTTCTAGTCTCCCGTCCCATTCCTAGCTCAGAATTTCATCTAAAACCATTTAGCGATAGAATAAATGTGTCCCCTTGTCCCCCCCCCCCCCCCCCCCAAATCTTCTTTTGCCACTGAAACCGTAATTTTTCAAAATTTCCGTCCCCACGGTGTAGCTCTCCTCTTTATTAATTGTTTACCATGGTCTTGTTTTGTTTTTCAAGCCGTAAATTATTGTGCTTGCTGACTGTATTATGAGCTCCTGGTCTCACTAGAACACAAAAATTTTGAGATTTTTGAGAACAAAAAGAGTCCCAGAAGTCGCAATAATCAGAGACCTAAATGACGTATATCTTGTTTCGAGTGACAGCGGTTTTCAGCAAAATTTTCTTGGTTGCTGTAGGAGATATCAAAGTTTTGTCAACGAAATGAAATTTTGGGATAATATCACCAACCCTTTTGTAGTTTGCAGACTATTGATATCTCTTACTGAAATGGAGATAATTTAGCTCAAAGTCCAATAATAAGGTTTATTTTTCTAATCATCTACTTTTTAGTCGGAAATCGAGATATTTAATTGCGAATGAAGTTTGGATTACATCAGTTGAATTTATTACTTGTTGTCACAATTGAAACCTGAAACAATATTTTTGAAACAGTAAGTACCTAAAACATCTACCGTAATCCGTTGTTGTTGTGAACATTGGATTGTTTTTGACGTACAAAAAAATACCTGTAAAAATGACCTGTAAACATCACAATACCTCAAGAAATCCATGTACCTGGATACTTTCATGGAAAATTTCGTTGAAATTCCGAAAATTCAGGATAATATGAAATGTTTGTGCAGTGCATGCTTGTAATAGCGATAATCACAACTTCCAATAATTTTGATCACCCATTTGAAACTGAAAAAAATGTATTCCAACAACTACTCACCAATTTTAATAACCTGTCAATCTAGGAATTGTTGTCCTTCTATTTCCACTGCATCCTTTCTTTCTTTCTTAAATTTAATCAGTTTAACACAAATTTGTTTAGCATTTCCTTATCATTTTTCTCAAACAATTGTTGCCGTTTTCTCTCTCCAACAACCCACCTACAGTAACCCACAAATAGTTCATACTTCCTTTCTTTCTTTTCATTTGATCTCTCTTTTTTGAGCATCTTGTGATCTACCGCCACTCTTAACCTACTGTCTACTCTCTTTTCCTATGATCATCGTCTTTTTTTCATTTTTCTTCTCTTTACGTTTATCACAATGTGTCTGAAGGTGTCTGTTGACATGCACTTTACCGATGGGTGGCGTTTTTGTGTGTGATGACGATTCTTCACTTATTTTTCAACAATTTTCAATTCGTTAGGCCTAAAATATATGGTTGTATTTGTTGGGGGACCGAAGAGGTTAAGGGGAATTATAAGAGATACGGAGTGCAACAAATGAAGTAAGGTGGAATGAAGCTAACATATATGAGGAGTCGACGAAACTGTAAATCTTGAATTTTTGAGGAGTTCGTTGAACTCTATTAACTCATTTGTTGTACAGGGAGCTAAACAGGGGTGTGCAGAGGTTTATAGTACTTTTTAGATTTCTCAGCTCCTGTAACAGACATCAGACGTTTATCGTTTCATAAACCGTTACATCACTCTAATAGAGTGCCACCCACACCGTCAGCTTTGAGCCCATGCATCTCATTCCCTGTAAAAGATATGAAAAGGTGGTAAACTAATAAAAAGTTGGTGATATTGTGATAAACAAATCATCAGTTGAAAATGTTTAAGTATTTTTCACAGGGACCAAGATAAATTGGCTCAAAGTTGAAAGTTAGGGGAGGGGAGGGGAATTCGATCAGAGTGTTTATGGTAATCGTTTTGATTTTCCTACGGTCATTATTTCACTAGACTTTTGATCTGATGTCAAACTGAAAAGCTATTTGAAGCAGAAATTGTTCAGAAGTCTCAGAAACCTTTTGGAAGTTTCCGAAAATGTTTCCTGTCAAGTTTTATTGATTTCAAGGTACTATTCTCTTGGAACTTTTTCAATTCAGTTGTTAAAATTTTTTTCTAAATTATCGCGAATATTCGGAACTGTAGGTACTATTTTTGGGTTGTATTCTTTTTCGCAATCGTATATTTCTGTCACTATCCCGCTTAAAAGCCACAGCGAAAAATCTAGATTCTGAAACAGCAAGTATTTTTTCAAATAGCTTCACTTCTATCTTTTTGAAGACCCCAAAAACTTGGAGACCCAAAATCCCGAACCCTCTTGTAAACACATTGGAACTTTGACGTGTTTGTGTTTTGTTGATGACTCTTTCTTCTTCTCTTCGTTTTCTTTCTTGATCATCAGCTGATAAGCGATCTGGCACGGTGCCAGGTGTCTAGGTCAGTTGTCTTGTCATCACATTTGTTTTCCTCTACATAATATATATCGTTGTTGTCTTTTTTTTGTAGTGTTTTTATTTCGTTTCATCTCTCTGTTTCCATTTGTCTCTCTCTAAAACCTTTCACGTGTTTATCATTTTGCTGCCACTCAGTCGGGTCAGCTGATTGATACCGGGTAGTGAAAAAAAGAGAGAAGAATCGAAATGACATAGTATGTCTAGGGTACCAGGTACTCTTACGTTTCAAGGTCCTTTTCAAAAGTTGCGGTATTGACAAATGAACGAAGTGATGGGTGAATCTCGAGAATAGAAAAGATCAGTATCTGAAAAAATCAGAAATCTAAACAAGACATTTTTGAAAACTTATGGGCCTAAATAATAGTCTTACCACTATTTTTCTTGAAGGTAATTGCGCTACTTTATTATAATGGACCCTTCAGATGTGGGAGTTACGGTTTCATGATTTTGTGAAATGGGTCAAAATTTCTTACAAAACTAGTTTCGTTTCGTGTAGCTCAATTATTATGTTCACTTTAAAAATGCTTTTGGTCCATAGGGTCCTAAGTTCAAGACTTTCTTCAAAGCCAACACCTCCTTTCTCAAAAGCTTAAAACCGATTGCCAGCTATTTTTGCTTTTTCCCCCATATTTGCATGTGTTCCCCTTTTACCTACCTTCCTATTCTTATTCATCCTATTCTTGTTTATTCATACTTTTTGCTTTAACCCCCATTTTTCCAATTTTTTATCTCTCCTATTTCCTCAAACTTGTTGTGTTCGTTCCGCAAACATTCCGAACATAGAGGCTTCTCTCTTTTGGCTCCGCCCACTTTTTTTGGGGCGCCGCCGCAGCCGATTTGTCATCCACCCCGATATGTGAAAAGGACGTGTGACTTTGATGGACTTTTTGAGAAAAAAAAACGCTATGTGTTCATGCTTTCGGCGGGGATAGAGATGATTTTTGATGATGGATTTGCAAACAAAAGATCAGATTTTAGTTCTGAAATCTTTATGGAAGGATTACTGTAAGGCAAAAAAAAACAGGAAAAAAAGGACTCTAAAGGTTCAGAAATATATTATTCAATCTGAAAAAATGTTTATCTAATTGAAAAAGAAACTCAAACTTTTTTTCGAAACTCAAACTTTTGCTGTTTCAGATTGCATATATTTTTCCACATAATTCGGTCTCGTTAATTTTTGAGGAGAAACGGATTCTAGACATAAAACTCAACTGAAAAATCCACAAAGTTGGCCTGAATCGATCAAGGGAACAATAGTCTTATAGGAGCAGAATCGCTTGGTTGTTTACTAGTAAACAAGCTCCGCCCCCTTTTTTGTTTTCTCCCCTCATAGTGTAAATAAAATGCAAGTGGATGGAGGACTTGTTTACTAGTTGTTTACCAATATCTTTGAATGGACAATAGTCTGAATTCTGGATAGTTTGAAAAAATACTCATAAATTTTCTCTTGGAGAATAATTACTGTGAATTCTCGAACACCGTATTTTCTCTAACAGAATCCCATCCTACATGCATATTTTGAGATCAATTATCTCGGCTCCTTCAAAAGGTATCGAAAATTTGTCAACTGATAAATAATTTATCATAATATCACCAATATTTTATCAGTTGGCGGATTTCTGATATTTCTTATGGAAATTGAAATAATTGAGATCAAAGTCGTCTGTTTAGGTAGGCTACTATCGGAGAAAATACAGTAGC